ATATTTCAGCTATTTTGTGCCGAATTCGATTCACATTTACAACATAGTAGGGTAAAACGAGGGCAAGTTTTGTAGACATTGTATTATTTTATTGTTTTCCTCCATTCCTAGGCAAGTAATCACATTGTATTGTTGTGATGTTATGTTGTTATTATGTTTTATAATCTGTATAATTATGTACATTGTTTGTAACACCTGTACCAGTGAACAACGAATTTCCATTTTGTATGGACAATAAATAAATTCGATTCAATTCAATTCAATTCAATATTTCGAATATGAAGGCGTTTGAAGAGCCAACTTTTTGAAGGGGGAAACTTTATGATATTCTTCCACACTTACCAAAAGAGTTGGAAGGATAAGAAATTATTTGTCACCTTTTCTAGGTATCAACCCTCTCTTTAGAAAAACGCCCCCGATATCATTTCTGCAAATCAATTACGCTTACCGTCTCTAAACAATCCGAGAACATTAAAAAATCATGCCCAAACGAACCAGACCGGAGAGTTTCATCTATTACCCAAACGGTATTAACAAATACCCTGCCAGGCCAGTGAAGCAAGAAGGGGTATACTCGGTAGTCTGTACATGGGGGAAGGGGGAGGGAGTTAATGTTAGACCCAAAGTAGCCAACAAGTTCATCATTCATATATTTGGAATTCAATCAGTGAATTTAATATGATTTAGAATTTGGAGTCGGCAAAGTAATGTTTTAACAGTTCCCCAATCCATTGTGGGGGGCAACGGCATCATTGGCGGAGGGTGTGTGTGTGTGAGTGTGTGTGTGTGTGTGTGTGGGGGGGGGGGCTACCTAATTATCTCCCTTTCCCCGTTTTACATCTTCCTTCCATTCACTCTCTTTCTCTCTTTCTCTCTCTATCTCTCTCTCCTTCCAATATTACGCCATTCGATTTTAAGGGCACGTGCATCCCCATCCACCCAGAGGCCCCTCAAAGCTACACTGCTAGACGAAGGTTTATCTTGAGCAGATGGTGAGATTTCTCTCTATGCTTCTTGTATAATCATTTGGATAAATTGTTAATAACCCCCTGTCACCATGACCAACCTCTAGGGACACACCGACGATCCATCCAATATCCACACCATCCACATGATACGCATTCACCGTGTTCAATGTTGGGGAATTATGGCTGGGACGTGCCTCCAAATCGAAAAACGGTAAGAAGAGGGGGTAGAGGGGGGGGGGGGGGTAGATGAGAATGAGAGAGAGATAGAGAGAGAGAGAGAGAGAGAGAGGGCGAGAGGGAGAGGGGAAGAGAAAGAGAGAGCGAGAGAGGGAGATAGAAAGATAAAGACAATTAGAGAGAGAGAGAACTAGAGAGCGAGAGAGAGAACGAAAAGGAGAATGAGAGAGAGAGAGAGAGAGCGAAAGAGAGTGTGAGAGAGGGAGTTGAGGGGGTGGGGTTGTGGGGAGGGGGGTTGGAGGTGCTTAGAGAACTTGAGAATAAGATTATAGGAACACAACCCCTCCCATTTCCAACACCATCCTTCGATGGGCTTAATCATCTACCTCATAAAACCCATGGCCCCAATGCATGCTGCCCCTCAATAGCTGGTTCTACGTTGTGCCACAGAGGTATTTCGTGTGGCGCGCTTCGGCCTCGTATGCGTAATAACATGCAGTCTATTGATTGGGAATGTTGTCTACAAAATCGATTTTTATCTCGATTAATTTTCCTTGTAAGATACTGTTCCTGTCTCTTGCCCTTTTGTATGTGAGAAAATTAAAAGAAGACCGCCGCAAAATTTGATTGAGTATAGTTCGATATACATGTAGCAGGTCTAGGCATGTTCTTGGGGCAGATGGGGGGGGGGGGGGTCTCACTAACTGCCCTTTATCCTTTCTATTTTCAGGTCGGCCAAAGTCGTTAGTATCTGTGTCAGTAGGAAGGACAGAAGCAATTAACGTGATTTTGTTTTTCTCGTAAATAATAATCAGCATCTTGCCGCATTGAATACAAGTTATAGATGAAGCGTGTCTTTTGATTAAATGATCTTGTTCTCCTCGTATAACATATTACTGGGCTTTCGCCACCATCATAACTTCTTCCCCTTCCAATTTACTTTTCTATTTCTGGTTGTATATGCCCCCTTTCTCTCACCTTCGGTGTAGGCCTATGTTTATCACTCCCTCTCTCTCTCTCTTCCACTCGTCTCCCCCTCTCCTTGTTTATATATGGTATTTCGCTTATTTGACGGCCCGTCTTTCTTTGTTTCTCTGTCTCTCTTTATCTCTGCCTCTGTCTGTCTGTTTGCCTCTTTCCCGTGCTACTCTTTACGTCACATTGTTTTTTCTTCAATCCCACCCCCTCTCTCTCCCCTCTATTATCTTTCTCCCTCTCTTTCTTTCTTATTCTATATTTGGTCGACACTTTGTTTCTTTTTAATCTCTCTCTCTCTATCTCTCCCCCCTCTCTCTCTCTCTCTCTTTCTCTCTTTCTTTCTCTCTCTCTCCACCCTGCTCTCTATTCCACTTCCCTTTCCTGTCCCTCTCACAATCTGTAATTTCTTTTTGATTGAAATGGTAACTTCGAGGTCTTATAAAAATACAGGCAGCACGTCAGCATTTACACGGATTTAGCATTTGGTGAAAAAAAGTATTTGGTGTAGCTTTCTTAAAAGCACAGGGTATTAGGGCCTACATATGGAATTTCACGAGTGACTTAAGATAAATATACAATCAAGGCGCTTGAAAAACTGACCTGGAAACGATTAAACCCCGTTTCAATTGATTTTTAGTACACGTTTTGCCACCATTGCATCACAATTTCGTCATGACGTTGCGTTATATTCAATAAATTATGTTAAATAAAAGCGACAGTAGCAATTCCTTACCTGCAAGTCGCGGTAATTTAGAAATAATTGATTAATTCCCCTCATGAGAGTAAAAACGCCCACCAGTACCAAAAACCATCGCAACCATAGCTTATACACATAATGCATGAGGCTTAATTAATAAACCTAGCTTTGTGAAGTTTATCTCGATTTTACATTACACCCACTTAGTGTATGTTCGTGATGCATTGAACCTTATATACAAGGCTGTCTCGACGCATGCTATGGTTAACGGTTATTAAAACTGAGTGGGGATTGTTCACACAGTGGATTGATGATGATGATGATGATGATGATGATAGTGATGATGACCAAAGGATGATAGAGACGATGTTGGAGACGATAATGCAGTGGCGACAAAATGATTATGATAATAACTATGACAATAATTATACTTCTACTACTCCTACTATGAGGGCGCCTACTATACGACTACTACTACTAGTACAACGACTACTACTACTACTACTACTACTACTACTAATTCTACTACTACTATACTACTACTACTACTACTACTACTACTACTACTACTACTACTACTACTACTACTACTAATTCTACTACTACTACTACTACTACTACTACTACTACTACTACTTCTACTACTACTTCTACTACTACTACTACTACTACTACTACTACTACTACTACTACTACTACTACTACTACTACTACTAATATTACTACTACTAATACTACTACTACTTTTGTAGGAATATCTCATTGTACCCGATATTTTACTTTTATTGATTATTTTGCTGTCCAATAATATTGTCGGACAGTTTGCATCATACCACTTACAATATAACATTAGTTGAATCAGGGATATAGCCGCTTTTGGAGGACAGTGGATGTCCTCGAGAACGAGACACGTCCCGCATCAATCAACACATATGATCTTTGACCTCTCGGCAGTGTTTAACCATTGCCTAGATTAAGGTGTTTTGTTGAGAAAGTATTCACGCAATGACAATCGGGGAATAATCAAATATTAAACCTTTATTGCATTACCTATAAATGCAATGTTTGCACTTTTCGAAATGAGATGGACAAGGCTACTAACATTTTCTTAAACAGATTTTTGAAAGTCTTTGCTAATATTTTACTAAAATTCACAAGAGATAGTGGCACATTTATGTTTTACAATGCACTAGATCATGTTTATCTAGTTCAGTTCAGAACCCTTTTTGCTACCGGAACTTTATGCGTGTTGTCACTGTCGTCTGTGACAGTGTGTTCGTCTGCATGCATTAGGACATAAGTTGTGTCATTAGTTTATACCCTTGGTAATACTTGTTTTCGTTTAATGTGTTCCCCAGATGTATATGAGCCGTGAGTGATGTTTGCCATTAAAGAGGTGACAATGTTCTGGGATGGAAACGAGACTAGTCGATGTGACGGTACCGTGGCGCCTCGCTGATAGTAGATTGCTTGTATGCTATCGTATCTAGCGGCGTTCACACTGCTGCGGGTCTCTAGCCGGAATGGAGTCGTCCCGCTGCATCAAAACTCCCCATGGACGCGGGTTGCATATACCGAGTCATTACGGCGAGTAAGGACAGCCCCCTGAGCTCGTTTCTCATTGTTTCCTGATCATTCTGCAATATGATAAATAATGATTAGGCCCTCTTCACCCAGGGTAGCCTTAGCAGTATCAAGACTGCTCTTTTTACGTCCCCTGCAGTTACCATTACCCCGGCAATTGTCAGGTACACCTTTACACCTGGGTGGACAGTGGCAAAATGTGGATTAGTGTCTTGCCAAGGGACATTAGTGCCGGGCTAGGATTCGAACCCGCAACCATTGAATTAAGAACCACTTACATTAACCACTGTACCACGACATCTCCAGAAGAGATGCATGCATACAGCCTGAGCTACATGTACATTGCCTATATTGAAAATTGCTTGGGCAATGTGAACAGCTCAAGACTGATCGCTAGTGGAGCTGCCCAATTGGATGACACAGTTTATGTTTAGATGTACGTCGTGCATTCTTGCCTTGCGCAACAAGGGAAAAAACACTATCTCAGTCTTGGCCCTATATTTCATCCAACCATTTTCGGGAGCCACTACACGCGAAAGGCGATGATAAAAGCTCGCGATTGATGCGGCCCTGGGACCGTTTCCCTTCCCCAAGAATCACTCGCATCCAACCAGAGTCTGTGATTGGGGTGTCGTGAAGTATCCAGCAGTGGTAACCGGCTCCAATTACAGTGAAGAAGTGCTTTGCGTACCAGCTTACAGTTCTTTCCCCGCTGCTCTCCGGAGATTGGCTTCATTCTGGTGAGAAATATTGCATTCAGTGAGCCGGGAACGGAGCGCCACGGTCGTACCAACTGTCCCAGTATTGTTTGGATCTCGCTGTGAAAGGAATACCTACTACTCCACCAACTCAAAAGGGTTGCCGATGAGTGTACTAGGTTTTGGATCAAAGTATTCCGATTCCGCAACAAAGATGCAGGCCGTTGTCAGAAAAGAAGAGGTATGAATTCCACGTGAAATTTCCTGTCCTAATGTTTTTCAGTGATCTCATTTAATTTTCTTATTTTGTTTTTGTGGGGGGGGGGGGGGCGGACCCTTCCCCGTTTTCCAATGGTGCTTGCTTTAATAACTTTTTTTGGGTTGGTATCATAGGTTATTGCGTAATTCCTTTTCTTGCAGAAAGCTCTTTCTCTAGAAGGTTGTGTTAGCTAAGCTATTGAATTCCCAATTTCATGAATTGTGTTCTTAAAAACGTCACGTCAGTAAGTTACGTTTAGTCAGGCTGTAGTATAAAATTATAGTACTTTCAGACGGTGGTTGAGCGTACGACAAATTTCAAGCACTTCATAAATGTAAACTATGCTATAATCCTATAATATATTACAGACTGATTTCATACTGTCATAGTCTTATTTCGCGATTAACTTTGCCTGGATAGAACTTGCTGCCAGAGGTTGGGGTGGGGGAGGGGACAATGAATGTAATACAGGTGCCAAATTGAAAAAAAAAGACACGATTAAGAAAAGAAAAAAAATCTGTTTCCGACGAAGATATCCGTACTTCCTTTCACGAAACTCATCGAAACAAACCACTTTCACAGCCCTAATGAGCCAAGACAACCGCGCTTTTAATCGAAGCTCTATATGTACCAACCTTTCGTGAAGTAATTTTCTAAATGATCAGTGGACCTTTTCCTTAAAAGCATTGCCGATAATGAGATTTAGTCATGCACTAAAAAAGCTCGTTCACATCAGGCATATTGTCTGTTTATGGTATGCTAACGAACATAAAGTTTGATGAGCATTAGTTTCATGATTGTAAATCAAAATTCTTGTTGTTTGTCATCTCGCTGCTAAATTGCAAAAACATGCACATTAATATCTTGTCATCTAGGACGAAAGCAAGAGCGGTACTTTTCAAAGCAGAAAGGGTTTTCATTTAGTTTGTCTAAATTGATGTATCGGATTTTATCCTTTTATCCCTTTACTTGAATTATCCAAATTATCCAGGATTATCATTATTATTGTTTTTATCATTTCATTTTTCAGTTCATTTATTCTTTTATTTATTTATTTATTCATCTATTTTTCATTATTATTACAACCATTTTTTATTATCAGTTTGTTCATGTTTTGCCTTTTCTTGAGGGGGGGGGGGGGGGGGTGCGGAGGTGCTAAAGTGAACGGGAAATGTACATTAGTTCTACTCATTCCTCATTCATCCAACGGATTCGATCAACGATGTCATTTCGTTTTGGAGCCTTCCATGTACGTCATAGTACTTCTTCATTACTTGCATCTTTTAGCTAGAGGCATTTTCAGTAACAAGATGTGAAATATTATCATATTTTTTCAATATCATCTTTATTCCTGCATTTCTTTCGAGGGGTTAAATTAAATCCTAATCCTCAGGACTCTAAAAATCGAAATACCATTTCAATGGCATATGGCCATGGATGGGGAGGGGGTGGGTGGAGGCTTTCCTGATTGCTGAAATTAGTGTTATGTGTTGTGTAAACGTTAATATTAAAGGTGTCTGATGGTACTGCCTGCTCGCCAAAAGTTTGTCATCATAATTTTGTATGCGATCTGTGGCATCCACAGTTATTCAAAAGTTGTTGTGGAATTTTTTGAAACCCAACAAAATGAGGATGAGGTGTACATCGATTCGCTCTATGTGGGTCGTCGCCTCAACCCTTCCTTCATTTTCTTTAAATATATCTGTTACCTTGTTGTGTCTTCTTCGACATGTTGAATGTATGCACGGGTATTTTACACTATAACTCTATCGCGCGCTCTCTCTCTCTCTCTCTCTTTCTCTATCTCTCCCTCTTTGATTCTCGCCACAATCCCTCTTCTCCCGTCTCCCTCCATTATAGTCTCTCTTTTATCTAGTATCTATCTATCTATCGATATATCGTTCTATCTCTATGGCTCCCTCTGTTCCTATGCTGTTTCGTCCATCTCCCTCTCAGCCTCTCTCTTTCTTTCTCTGTCTCTCTTTCGCTATCTCTCTCTTTCATTCTCGCCACAATCCCTCTTCTTCCGTCTCCCTCCATTATAGTCTCTCTTTCTATCTGGTATCTATCTATCTATCGATATATCGTTCTATCTCTATGGCTCCCTCTGTTCCTATGCTGTTTCTTCCATCTCCCTCTCAGCCTCTCTCTTTCTTTCTCTGTTTCTCTTTCTCTATCTCTCTCTTTCATTCTCGCCACAATCCCTCTTCTTCCGTCTCCCTCCATTATAGTCTCTCTTTCTATCTGGTATCTATCTATCTATCGATATATCGTTCTATCTCTATGGCTCCCTCTGTTCCTATGCTGTTTCTTTCATCCCCCTCTCAGTCTCTTTCTCTCTCTCTCGCTCTCTCTCTCTCTCTCTTTGTCTACTGTATATAGGTTTCCCCCTCATCGTGTCATCTCCCTCTTTGTTTCTCTATCTCCCCTTCCCCTTGCCTCCCTCCTCTCTACCCTCCCCCACCCTGCACCAGCGCCTTTCTCCTCTTATTAATACCTCAGTCAATCTGCCAAACTGACCCCAGACCGCCTCCAAACCGACCTATTTTTTGTCATAGGGGTAATGTAATATTTTTGGTCGGTTTGTTGTCGGTCTGCATGGTGTCGGTCTTGTCGGTGTGACTCGGATATCACGCTCTATGGCCCGAATTCACAAAGGAGGTTTGTCGACAAACCGAGGTTTATGTTCGTCATATGACGCGTTTTGACGCGTTTCTTTTACAAACCTGGTTTGTAAAAACGCGTCGAAACGCGTCATATGACGCACGAAAACCAAGGTTTGTCGACAAGCCTCCTTTGTGAATTCGGGCCTATATCTCTACATTTCAAATAATAATAGCTGTCCCTATATCGCTCCACGTGCCAATCTACGTACCCTTTTTTTTTATCCGTGAGCATCTCGCATGCTAACGAGTATGCACCTGCTACTCCCTCGCGAATACAGATACTACAGGGATGCGATAATTTAAGAGACATTTTTCATCTCTTAGATCGAAAGTTATAAACATCAGCTCGCCCACGTCGCATTAAGTTACTTCTATAAAGAAAACCAGCCTCTCCGACCCAAAAAAAAAAATTGTTTAAAGAATATGGCGCCTTTTTTAAATTACATTTAAACATAATGCATTTTAAATCATGAATGATAGTGGTTTTAAAGGCTTGGGGGCTGAAGCCTCCCTCCCCCTATAAACTAAATTTCGCAAAGCGCATGTAGTATTAATCAACGTACATATAGAAATTAATGGGATCATCATGGTTTCGCTCCAATGATAAGAGAGTCCTTTATTGATCCGACCCTCACAGCCTTTCAAACGCTTTCCTTTATCCCTGAAGCTTGCTTGCTATTTTGCCACCATTGGTAAGCTGTGCAAAATAATTTAATTTGTATTATCAATTATATATATATATATATATATATATATATACATATCCAATGTATAGCTCAACTAGCCCTGTATGCACATTGTCTTTAAGTATATGTTTTGAATGAATGTCAATGAATTTGGAAGATTTGTCCTACGATGTAATTTTAAGCATGCAGCTGCATTTGTAACTAGAACAGCTCAAGATAGTAAGTTATAGAGAACCTGTGTCTCCAGCTCCATCGCAATGTCACCCAAAACGGCGGCCCCAAAAGATATAGGACAAAGCTATATCTTTAGGTATACCCCATTATTTACGGCTTCCATTCATTACATATACTAGTAACTTAAACCTGCCATTACGCTCTGCGCCTACTCCGCGCTACCTTTTAAAGATCCATGAAGCTAACAGCGCGATAGAAAGCCCACTAGCGTGGGTGATATAGTTACAGGGTTACATCGAGGAGATCCTAACTCCTTGGTTACATCTAAGTAAGACTTGGAGCCTCGCCTTTCCATGATGCCATTTCAGATGTGCCTTCATCATATGATAGTATAATCGTGTGGTTATCACCTGTCGTAATAAGCCATCGCATGCAAGCAGATCCGGGTGAGCTGAAGGCATGCAAACGAAGAAATAGTGGTGTATCTAGATAATCATAATGGCGAAGCAGACGTGCGCCGCCCCTTTTGTGTTCTCATATTTTAAAGAAATCAGTTAGAAGTCAGTTGTATTAGCAAAAACAGAAGAAAAAAGAAAAGAAAATGGCTAGAGTCTTTAGAATTTTGCTGGGGACACTGGGAAAAGCATGTTCCCACAAACTACCCAACAACTTAATGGGGACAGCACAAATCCATTACACCTCTATGTTTATGAATGTTTGGATACGCATCCGGATGCTGATCAAAATTATAACTAACGGATTGAGTTGAAAGATGATTGAGAAAGGAGGAAACGGGCGAAGCTAAGAATGAAAAGAAACTATAACACACTGGGAAATAATTAAGGATTCTACGAAATTGAGGAAATCTACCGGGACTTTTAAAGATTAACAAGCACGATAAACAAGATACAGTAGGAAAAGAGAAAGATGATTACAATTGCGAAGAGTTACAAAATCATGAGAAAATGAAGCACTATATATGGGAAAAGAGGAATCAATACGGAGGAAATCAGGAGAGATATTTATGATAATTTTACGGAAGCGATAAATGCTGGAATGAACGACGATTAAAATAATATTAGAATATAACTTTGCATACAAGAAAGCACAATGGTCTACTTTTTCAAATATGATAATGATAACATTGATAGCAATAATCATAATATTATTGATAATCATAAGATGATAACAATAATAACAATAATGAAAATAATGATAATAATAATAATAATAATAATAATAATGATGAAAACAATATGCATCTATAAAGCGCAGAAACTATACAAATATATATTTTACTGCCCTGTATGAGCTCGTGCTGTGCTTAAAAACGACAAAATAAAGTTTAATGAAATGACTAAAACCTTGATTTTAAAGTAAGATGGTGATTTCCCAAATTCTGATAGTAAGTTATTCCACTTTAAGTTAAAAAAAAACCCTAATATCTAAAATTAAA